AATGAATGATATTTGGTGTGAGAAAATTGAACTTAGAGTTTAAATGAGATGATATATTAACCTATGATTAACCAAAGTTAATAGCTAGTGAACCGCGCGTGATCCGGAAGTTGAGTGTCACCAGGGCACACCAGGGTGTCACTGTCGGAAGAGGTTATTTCGCTGGCCTCAGAGTGACAAAACGTAACAAAACAACGGTTTTACTAACACTAACCCTATTCCAAACACCAACTCTAATCCTAACCCCAACCCTAACCCTAACCTTAACCTAACCCTACTCCAAGTTTGTTTCTAAACCAATCTTGAAGAAATAAATTTTGACGAAATGTCATTCTGAGGTCAGCGAAATAGTATATACCGTCACTGTCGAGGTGTGCCTTGCGCTGCATGTGCAACATATGGTCAATAGCTGTTTGGCACGCAAAGTGTACGGATTATATCCAAAATAAAGCGAAAAGTTTGAAATTGGTTCACATTAGAGAAGATTGAATTGTTTATACGATGGCTACAAACTTAAGCGATCGGGCGCACCTGTCGACTGGGCTGTCAACATGATTTTGTATCAGCTATACAATTAAATCCTTCACGGTCATGATTTCGTTTATGTTTTTCATGAATTATTAATGCGTTTCACAAGGTATTATACATTAAAGTTTAAGTTTTCGACATAGGAAATGAGAACCATATTGGTGTCATATCAGTTGAATATGGTCATGTAATAGCCTCGTATAAGCGCGTGGTATATTGCGCGTATGACGTCAACTATACATTTGTGAACAACTACAAAACATTATACAAAAGTTAAAGCAATTTTTATCCAGAAATTCACCCTCATAGGGAAAAAATGCCCCTGCAAAGATGTCGCAACGTGGTAACTACGAGGCATGCGATTTTATACTATAAACTAAAATGAGACGCGTTAGACTCATAGTTGACATACAGGGTGTCCCAAAAAAGATGTCCCCTATCATATTTTGTGGTACTACATCGTTACCTGTAATCGAATATTCAAATTTTTTCATTTTTTTATCAATAAACATATTACGTTAATCGTTGCATTTTTTCGCATCAAAATATTTAACCGTTCGCCTTCTAGAGTTAGTTAATTTAAGGTGGCGACACCAATATTGCCACTTGTCCAAATTGTGGATATTAGGTTTAAACATATTACGGAACGTAATAAAATTTATTAATGGTAAATGGCTACATATCTTTTCTAAAACTTGTAGCCATTATCGCGAAGTTCACATTAACCAAATTAGTTGTAGCCAAAATCGCGAAGTTCATTTTCTGTAAAAATAAAGCAATCCCCAGAAAAGGGGAAAGATTAGTGCTGAAATCCCAACATTTGCTCTTTCATGGAACAAATTGAACGGAAAACAGCAAATTTAAGGCATTTTCCCAACCTTAGCTTTGCCTTTGTCAATTTGACAGGGATTTTTCATCTTTTTTTATTAATTTCTACAAGAAACAAAAGTTTAGTAATGGAGATAAAAAACATTTTGTTTTTGAGCAGGTTAACTGTTTCTGAACGGTTAAGTCTTTTGGCGAGATAAATACTACGATTAATATATGATTGTTTTTCAACCCACTGCAAAAAAATTGAACCTTTGATTAAATATAGCGAAGTAATACCACCAAATATGACAGGGGACATTTTTTTTCGGACACCCTGTAGATGGTTTTTACATCCCAGCTGGGCGGGATCCCCAAAATACTTGGATTCCTTCATAGGACTTCAGATCCCGGATTTAGCGTCCAAGTCAAGAGCTCTTTGTACAACCTAGTTCAATCTCGCTATATATAGGCACTCTCTGGCCGGTATTTACGTATTATGGTTGAAGGAATTCAAAGACGTGTCACTAAATTTAGACCTTGTTTTCATTTTTATATTGATTATACTGATCCACAGATTCGGTGACCCTGCCCTAGTTGGCAAAGCTAAATAAAATAAAATAAAAATATATTGATATATTCATATATCTCAATTTGTCACACCTAAATTCGTAGTTAAATCAACAAGGAACAATTCATCTTTGGACTACGGGTACATTGCGCAAAACATCTCTATTTCAAAAAAGTTATTTTTTTGTTAAAACTGAAACTCTGGAACAGATTACCTCGTCTACGCAGTCGCGTCAGCCAGTACTAGTCAGTGCATGTATTCAGATCTGCTCTTCATAACCATTACAATACTGCTTTGGACTGTAACTTTGATACTGAAAACAGCAAGTTGGAGATCCCTTTGTTTCAAATGCTCGAACACTTGAAATCTTGCATCTCGTGCATGCATCCTTTCGTTAGTGCTGCCCTTATATTTACATTGATTTTGTTCCAATGCTTGCTGTCTGTATGGGTGTGTATCTATTGTTGTGTTTGTATTTTGTTTTTTTCAAACGTTGTTCAATGAAAGCTAAATAAATAAATCTTACTGGCACTGGTTGCCCCTGGGAAAGTTTTGCAACCCGGGCCCCGCGCAACCTCTCGGCGGCCCTGATAATACCAGACTATTCGAGAAAAAAAGAGTATGCGTTAAAAAGAGAGTCATTAACGTCTATTATTATATGGCAAGCATCACTTCCGGTGAAATGGCGGACTGTGATTGGCCGAGAAGCACTTTTAGCGGTTCATTATTTTCCCGTAATGGACCAATCTCGTAACCCAGACTAGAGTATGCCCGTTCGCAGGTTAGGTGCTGGGTATGCCCAGCACCTAACCTGTGAACTGGCATACTCTGGGTACGAGATTGGTAATGAACCGGCGGTCCATTACGTAAAAACAAAAGCATGCATTTTAAAACAAAACAGCAAAACTAATTGAAAATTTAATAACTCTAATTTAATTTGTTATCAAGAAGATATCTGCGAATGGTTTTTAGTGGAAAAGAAGGAATACATTGGTATTTTTTTGTTCTCTTCGACCAAATGTGTACCACGCTACTAATATACATTTCAAATCAAGCATTTCTTGTTTATTTCAATGAATTCAAGGGGCACTGTTATCAAAATTTCTATTCACTTAAACGAAAATGCTCTTAAAACTGTATGGTAACTTGTTTTGAAGATTTTTGTTCCCATGCTTAGTTCTTGAGATATTTCATTAGTAATTCTTGTGTATCTTTGCTATTTTTGATGGATTTCTTCAAAAAAACAGTATGCTTAATGATGTAGGTTAAATTAACAAACGCGCCGCATCTTTCGAAAGATTTTGATAAAAAATAGCAAAGATACACAACAATTACTGATATCTCATTATATATGTAATTGAGTAAATGACGTCACATGGTTACAAACAAAATGAAATAACTCGAGAACTAAGCATGGGAACAAAAATCTTCAAAACAAGTTACCATACAGTCTTAAGAGCATTTTCGTTTAATAAAATAAAAATTTTGATGGCAGTGCCCCTTTCAAGTATAAATGCCTATAAATGCCATATAATAAACTTTTTATTAACCTCGCTTGCTCGGTATGTACATAGAAATATCGGACCTCGGTCTTTTTGTACAAACCTCGCCCTACGGGTTCGGTCTGTATAAAAAAGACCTCGGTCCGATATTTCTCTGTACAGACCTCGCGTTCGGTTTATAAGAAGTTAAAGAATCCCCCCTTGACGGGTGAGTTGTCTCGTGTTAGAAGTCCACAATCATGAGTAATGAAGTGCAACAATTTGTCTATTCACAGGTTCAAAATCTGGTCCAATCGATTTGATCTTTGGTATTCCATCTACCACAGAACTTGGCTCCGAGGGTTTTGATAGTTTTAAAAGTTTTGTAAAGAAAGTAACGAACTCGTACCCTATATCTGAAGGAAATACAAACGTTGGTATTATTAAGTATGGTAGCAAAGCCGAAGTTGTTTTGCCATTATCTGAAGGAACATCCTCACAGACATTAAATCAGAGACTTGATGGCATAAACTTTTCACCTGGCGTGCAGAATGTTCCCGAAGCCCTACAGTTGGCGGCTGACGAGATGTTCACTTCAGCAGGTGGTGGTAGGTCAGGAGCCAGCAAGTATTTCGTCTTTGGTGCCGGCTCAGAATCAAACACACCGCAAACGTTGAAAAGAGCTTCTAAAAAACTTCAGTATCAAGGTGTTTCTATCATGCCTATCTCAATCGGCTCAGATGTATCTCCGTTGAGATCCATCGCCAGTGAACCTGTAAGAGATTTCTATCGAACGACTGCTGATGCGTCAAGTCTTGAAACAGATCTCCATACCCAGGTCATTTCTTCTGTAGTACCAGGTAGGAATTTAGAGTTAAAACTCTGGGCAAACCAGGAAACAGTGTTTGAAAGTGAAACATTTGAAAATTCCGATGTTTCCTGGAGAAAGTAATTTTGAAAATTCCGATGTTTCCTCGAATGTTCTCTATTTTCCCTTGGAAAATTATTCCGGAAAGCAATTTTGTTTCCCTGCACGGGATGGAAGTTGGTAGAAAGTTGGGGGCGGGGGAGAGGAGATGCATCTATAGTACCCGGAGAAAACTCAGTGTCAGAGTCCGCAGCGGGAATCAAAGTCATCGTCTCAGTGGTCTCAGTGGTGAAAGGCGCTTGCCTGACAATTGTAAAGGCAAGGATAGAGCTAACTGTCGTATGTTATAGTGATCTTTGCAAGTTTTCTAAAATTGCTAATTGATCGGTCTAGCCCGGATTAATATTGTGTGAATTAAAATGTGTACAAAGTTATTGTGGGGTCCATATCTGTAGTTTTTCAGTTCTTCAGGTATTTTTACCGAAAATCACATTCCCGCTGGATAGTGCTGTCCACCTTTCGGTTGCTTCGTGACATTTGCGTACATAATCCTCATGACTCGATTTAGAACCTTACATTATTTGGGCTTCGTTGGCGTGGTTGTCAGAACAAGTGTCACCTCTGAGTCTGTGGATGTGACTCGCTAATGACTCATGTGAAAAGAGCCAGTTAACGCTCTGCCGAAAGTCATGTGTTTTCTCCGGGTGCTCCGGTTTCCTCCATAGATATCTTATATACACTAGATAGTGCATCTAATTATTCTGCAATTCAAAAATTGAAACCGTGATTGCAGACTCAGGATATTCCCATGAAATGAGAAGACTCGTATGTTTTCTATTTCTTAAACAGGGAACTTAAACATTAAGTTAAACCTATTCCAAATACATTTTTAAACTATTCAAAATGATGAGAGTTATTGTTGTTTTTTAAGCGTTTATTAGTGAGTGGGGACAGGGCGTAACTACCAACATGGCCGCCATCTAAACGCCATCTATTCAAATGGGGGTAACCGCTGGAATATTCTTGGCTTCAATTTTGCTATTTCCTCCCGCAAGGAATGTTCCCAGGGTAACAAAATTACTTTCTGGAATAACGTTCCAAGGGAAAATACAGAACTTTGGAGGAAACAGTGGAGGAATTTTCAAAATAACTTTCTGTAATAATTTTCCAATGGAAATATTCCAGGAAACATCGGAATTTTCAAATGTTTCACTCCTGGTTTACCCAGAGCTTTAACTTGAGCGTAATACTTGATGTAAAGCGTATTGATCATATCCACATGTAAATTTGCGTTATATAAATTTTAATCGTAATCGTAACATTGAACTATAAATAAACTGGAAGGCTAACTCAGGGGGGGGGGATTGAAGCCAGTGCATTTTAGTTTTTCTGAGTTATGAGCAGAAATACTCAACACTGAACGTTGGGCTATATATCAAATTGAAGCTATTGAAAAACGCTATTTGGTGTAGAAATTTCAAGACTTTAGCTAAAAGGGAAATATTGAAAAACTACAAACATAATTACCGATAATTCGGCCGTTTTGCAGTTGTTTTTGTATTTTTTGAATATTTTTCTTTTCGCTGAAGTCTTGAAATTTCCACACCGAATAGCAATTTTCAATAGCTTCAATTTGATATATAGCCCGACGTTTGGGATCAAGTATTTCTGCTCATAACTCAGAAAAACTATTTTGGCTTCATCAAATCATGGGCCTTCATCATAGCAGTTAGCCTTCCAGTTTATTTATAGTTCAATGAATCGTAATCAACTTGACCCTTAATCTTTGTTCCTGCACAGGTCTTAGGCGGACGTATAGAGAGGGTGGTAAAATGGACATCTTACTTGGTATTCCCGAAGGAGATCAAACAAGGGACTCTTTTGCACAAATTAAATCTTTTGCTCAGCGATATGCCAGTGGATATCAACTGGGAAGTAGTGATGTCCGTATGGGTGTGTTTAGTTATAGTGACACAGCAAAGTCTGTGGTGCAACTTGCTGACGGTATATCAAGCACTACTATCAATAATGCTCTTCAAAGTTTGGGACATGGTGGTGGGGGTAATCGTAAAGATGTTGCTCTTCAATATGCTTCCGATGTGTTTAGTCGGAGCGGTCGTTCTGGTGTTAAAAAATCTGTTGTTCTGTTATCCAATGGTGCTTCATCATCAGGGTCAGCCGATCTGAGTGGTATAAGTGAAACTCTCTCTGGAATGGATATCTACCCTGTAGCAGTTGGTCCCGATGCACGAGTAGATGGTGCAAAGATCTCTAAGGATTATATCTACTATGAAGATTTTCCTAAGCTAATCGATTCAGGACCATTTGAAATAACCAACAAAATTGTTCAAGCTGGTACAAGTGTTACAACCAATGGTGGTACCACGCCTACTGGTACCCCAGATACTGGTAACTGCAAACCTTCTAATCTAGTACCCGTTTACACAGTAAAAGCCCGCATAAACTGAAACTTAGGCAATTAAACACCTAAAATACAAGACACCACTTCAGGAGACGGTTGTAGATTTTTTCAACCTTTCTAAAAGTGCCTGAAAAGCTGTAAAACATGAACCTCGCCATTAATAAAAAGAAACTTTAATTTACAAATAGTTTAATTTGGATTTTGAAAAAAATCAGTATCTGGAGAATGGCGCTATTGGGCCTTCGTACAACCGATCTCATGCTGAGAAATGGACGTTCTTAATTTAAACTAACCTTTGTACCTTATCTGATTTGGGAAGCAAGTTAAATAGTTACAACAAGCTGATACCGTAAACCTCCGAATATAAGCCCCGAATATGGCCCCATGTATAAGCCACCACGTGTACTAACGCTCACCTTATTCCAAATATAAGCCCCGAATATAAGCCCACACGAATATAAGCCCACCCGAATATAAGCCCACTTGTTTATCACTATTGTTTATCACTATTAATCACTATTATGACTATGCTTAACACTTGTTTATCACTATTACTATACTTGTTTATCACTATTACACTAACACAAAAGATCGTCCATGTGTAAGCCCCCCCGGATATAAGCCCCCCCCCTTGTATAAGCCCATCAAAAATCGCTTACGAAAGAATATTATAAGCCCAGGGCTTATAGTCGGAGGTTTATGGTATACAGCCATTTTGATACGCTAGTGAATATTCATTGGCCTTCTTTCACTTTCTTGTTCACTACTCAAAGAGGATGCATTTTATCAAATGGAGAAACTTTGAAACAAAAATGATCATTGTGAGCCAATGGTGTATAAAACACTACATATGGTAGTTAGAAGTATTATTAGTATTTCACTCTGTCTAACGCCGGACCATTTTATTTTACAGACAAAGGAGCAAAGGGACAAAAGGGGCAACCGGTACAGTACAACTTATTTTTCTAAATCAGATTCACTTGTACATTTATATGGAAATGAAATCTATAAGTAATGTTTACAACAAAAGCAGCCATGAATAAATCTTTCTGGAACGTGCTCACCCTTGGCTATCGAACCTCGTTTTCGTGATTGAATTTTTAGGTTCCTTTATCTTGCTACAGATAACATATAAAATAAATCAAACAGTTTCGGGAGATTCGGCGTAATATTTCCCGAAGTGATGATATTTCCCGAGGAAAATATCATCACTGCGGGAAATATCGCCGAATCCCCCGAGCGGAGGGGTCTATAAATTAAGAAATAGAAAACATTTTCCGTGTTTCTATAGAGTTATAGAAACACGCGTGAAAGTTTGGGAGAAACGAGAAATTGCGTGGGAACACGAGCACGAAGTGCGAGTGTTTCCACCCAATTTCGAGTTTCTCCCAAACTTTCACAAGTGTTTCTATAAACTCTATAGGAACACGGAAAGAATGTTTTCTATTTTCTTTATTAAATAGCCTTTTAAAAACAATAGAAAAGATAAATTTATTGATTTTCATTGCTTTCATTCAAATATTTATAATTCCACCTTAATATACGTTCGTGTAAAGAATAATTATAAAAGCATAGCGAAGAAAACAAGTATATCGCTGTCGAAACAACAGACAGCATTAGACACTTAACGCTCGAGAGAGCGTCTTGTTATAAAAGCATAGCGAAGAAAACAAGTATATCGCTGTCGAAACAACAGACAGCATTAGACAGCACAGCTTAACAGACTTACTTTACTAAGGGGCCGACCATTTAACTTTTGAAGGGGGGAGGAATTGATTTACTGCTGGCAGGGAATTTTTTTTCTGGGATCGTTATGTGCAAGATTTTTTTTTATCCCATCACCATGTACGATTTTTGCCACACTTTCTTTCGCAGCATTTTTTTTCCATAGCTTATACTATTTAGATTCTTTAATTATAGTTAACGTTGAGTTTTCTAGCTTCATGATGAGGAGTTTTCCTACAAGAAATTAACCTTACACTAGTTTCTCGGACTGGTCAAATCGATCCCTGCAACCATGCTGTTTTGCAACATTTTTTTTCCCACCAAATACTGGGGCAGGATTTTTTCCCCAGTTTGTTAGTGCAGGTATTTTTTTGTTCAGAATAGCCTTGCAGGAAATTTTTTTTCAAAATCACTCCCCCCCCCCTCAAAAGTTAAATGGTCGGCCCCTAAGTATATAATTCAGTCAACAATGACAACGTACATGCTTGCATGCAAAGAAAGCACTGTTTTAAATAGTTAGTGAACGTTTAAACATGATTAAAAACTATAGTAAACATGATTATTTTTTAAAAAACGTCGCGAGGAAACATTTTTTTAAAGAGACAAAGTAAAATTATAAAAATATCTTACATTGGTAAACAGTCAAACAGATACAACGTGTGCTATCATACTTTGTGCTTTAGGTCTTCGCTTTCTAAGTTAGCAAAGTGTTGCCTTTTTTTGTAACGGTTTTTTGGCGTTTCGGCCGGACGTTTTTCAACTTTTTTCAAACGAAGTGACTACATGACCGGCAGTCGGCTATCTAGTAAACTGCCGGCTATATAGTGACTATAATTAAAGTTGAATTTTTATAAGGTAAACCGTTCCCTAACCCCAAACCCTCCTCTAACCCTTACCCCTAACCCTAACCCCTAACCTAACCTTTTGAGAGTTAAAAAATAAAAAGGCGGAGAAAAAGTTGAAAAAATTTTAAGAAAAAAATATGCTAAGTCAGACGTTAAAAATACAACCCCACCCCGGTTGGGTTTCACTTTCCGCACGCCAACTCCTTTGCCGTATGCGCTAACGGCAAGCTCGGTAAAACTACTACAAACAAATGTTTTTATATGTAACTATAGTCATTATATAGCCGGCAGTTAACTAGATAGCCGGCTGCCGGTCATCTAGTCACTTTGTTTTTCAAACTTAAATATTGTTTGTATTTTGTCTTTTAAACTCCCACGCAACCCGCGTGAAAATTCCCCCGTGTTTTTATCGAGTTATAGAAACACGTTTTTTTTTCAGCTTTTGACCAATCAGCGCCCGTAAATAAAACTACGCGAATAGAATTTTTAATTTCTCATGTATACCTGAGTTTTTGACGTTTCCTCTTTAAAATAGTTGAGCATGTATCCTTTGGATCATCAAAGGTAACATACGTCTTGAAAATCTTTGGTTAAATCAAATCTTCTGTACGAAATTTAATACAAACAACAGCTCGCGAACGCCATATTGTTTCAGAGCGTGGTGTCCACGCGTCACGCGTGGGCGTGGGATACTATAATATCCCACGGTGGATCTGCCGTGGGATATTATAGTATCTCACGCTGCATTACGAAATCATGAATTTGAGTGAAATACCGTAAAAAATCAACTGCTGTCAGCATTCCACACTATTGGACATGATCTAGATAAGAATATTCAGACGGACGTCTTGTATCTGGATTTCGCTAAGGCTTTCGACTCCGTGGACGGTGGACCACGCAATTGTTCTCGAGAAACTGCGTGGTTACGGTGTGACAGGGTCAGTTTTGGGTTGGTTCGCAGACTATTTGAATGGTAGGACTCAGAGAGTCGTTGTAGATGGTGTGGCTTCGACATGGTCACCAGTCACCTCTGGAGTGCCTCAAGGAAGTATTCTCGGTCCGTTATTGTTTGTCATCTTCATTAACGATCTCCCAGATGTTGTGCAAAATGGAACTGAAACAGCCCTGTATGCTGACGATACTAAATTGCACAATACAATTAGCTCTACTGATGACTGCAAATGTTTACAACAATCGTTGACAAATCTGAATTGCTGGAGTGTACAAAACAACATCCGTTTCAATGCTTCTAAATGCAAAGTACTCACCATTACACGCAAGAAGACTCCTGTCACTTATGATTACAAACTGGGAACAGAAAGTCTGACTCGAGTTGACAGTGAAAAGGATCTTGGCGTCATAACTTCCTCTGGACTTTCATGGGAACTCCAAATCAATTGTGTCATCTCCAAGGCTAACAAAATGTTAGGTGTACTGAAACGAACCAAGCCCGTAGCTGGCTCTCAATTTCTGGGGGGCACTCAAAAATTTCGGTCAGTGTACCATTTTAGGGGTCAAAAATTTTTTCCGGACATACAAATTTTTTCGGACATACTAAATTTTTTCGAAACCTAACAAAATTTTTCAAAAATCACAAAATTTTCCAAAAAATTTACATAATTTTTTCCATGATTACAATTGATTCCCAGGCCCTTTATCTCAATTTTTCATACCCGATTTCGAGTGGGGCAATGCTCCCCCAGGCCCCCCCCCCCCAGCTACGTGCCTGAAACGAACATGTAATCAACTGACAGACAGGAAAGCCAGGCGAACTCTTTATTTGACTCATGTGAAATCGCAATTATGCTATGCAACAGAAGTTTGGCCGCCCGTAAATAACATCCAACTCTCAAAGCGGGTTGAAAGAGTGCAACGTCGGGCGACGAGATGGATCATGATGAGCAGAAGAGGAGAGCTGAGCTACAAAGAACGTCTGTTGGCCTTAGACCTTCTGCCGTTAACCTTCGACAGGGAGGTTAATTAAGGACTTGGTGTTTCTATACAAGGCTTTGTTTGCAGGGCCGTAGCG